AAAAAAAAAAAAAAAAAAAAGACGAGTGGATCACAAGGCTTAGTCCTTGTTTTTTTAAGCAAAATAATTTTATTTTCTAACAGATGGTAAACATATACAATATATATATTCACTTGTACATCTATTCATATGACTTCCAAATCGCAACTGCTTTAATCCTCGACTAAAGTGCTGAACACTGAGACAGGAAAAATTGTTTTAGACAGATCACATTCTGAGTGTATTGGACTGGTTACAGCAGGTACTACAGGGTGAAGGGCACTGCACGCTCCTCCCTGATAAAGCCACTCATGGTGCTGAGTCACCAAACTGCATGACAAAGCGGTCGCTGGCTTTTTGTACCATTCTCTCATATCTACTCCTAATTCATTTTCACCTATACCGTGTGTGTGTGTGTGGGGGGGGGTGTTCTCTGGAGGTAGGGTCTCGCCTTGTAGCCCTGACTGGCCTTGAACTCATGGTGATCCTTCTGTCTCAACCTCCTAAGAGTTGGTATAAGTGTATGCCATCACACGCAGCTCAAAAGTATATTTTTAAATATATTTCTAGCTCACCATTTGTAATCAGTATCATTTTTTTCAGTATCATTTTTTAACCATTATTTTAAACTTAAAACTAAATGTTTCTTCTTTTCTAATTATGTACACTTCTACTGAGTATACCTCAAAGACATCAAAATCCTCCTGGACCTCTTATAACCATTTAAATGTACTACTTTTAATGCATCAAGCCCATCGCTAAATACCAATGAAATTTTATCTGGGGCAGTCCTAATCTCATATAAAGCATTTAGTAGCTCAGTCCCTAGCACATAGCAAAAGCTTGATAATTTATCACTGTAACTGAGCACATGCAGAATACAAGAGCTAATACTTTGGTCGTTAAAACCTGTAACTGTCAATCACCTTAGCTTCTTTTTTTAAAAAAATTTTTTATTTATTTATTTATGTGTGTGTGTGTGTGTGTGTGTGTGTCCAGCTCAGCCCACCAGGGGGACTGAACTGCGGTCCCTGTGCTTTGCTAAGCTTGTTCTAAGTAGGTGCTTTAGACCACTGAGCCATCTCACCAGCCCCATCACCTTAGCTTCTTGATGCTGAGGGCTGGATTATACATAGGGCCACATGCAGTATGCTGGTCCTCTGAGGTCTTTGCATCTAGATCCTCCTCCTGCAACTGCCTCTCAGGACCAGAAGAGAGCTCCTTCAAGGGCATTATCTCATGAAAAGGAGTGGATGCAAAACGGGCTGCTCTAGTGAAGTCACAAGTATCTTCAGGGTTAGGACAAATAGTCACATTCCGGAAACCTGTGATAATGGCATCCTCACTCAAGGGCTCAATTCCTGTAAGTTCATCCTGAAATAAAATCAAAGAAGTCCAGCTGAAATATTTCAATGTACACACGAGTAGCCTATCATTTTTTGAGACACGCATATCAGATCACTGAAAGGACATGCAAGTAGCACATTAGATAAAGATAATTTTAAAGGGCACAGGACAGTATTTGAGGAAAAACGGATCTGGATCATCAACTATACTTCATGAAAAAACACACTGCAAAGATTCTTGACACAAGGAAAATTTCCCAATTTACTTCACCTAATAACTAAAGCACTAATATTGTTTTTCTTCTGATTGTCACTTAGAAAATACTCTGCGGCTAGGGAAATACTTCGGGAGTCTAAGCACTTCCTGGCCAGCCCAAGGACCTGGCCTTGATCCCTGGTACCACATGCTCTGCCAGCCCTGTGCTGTGCTGGCCACCAAAACTGGGGAATGTGGTACACACCTGTAATCCCAGCACTGGGGAGGCTGAGACAGGATGATTACTATGAGTGCGAACTGCATAGCGAGACCCTGTGACCAAATCAATCCATCTTAAAAAAAAAAAAAAGAACTCTGAGAATCTGTTATCCTGCTGTTTTTAAGTCTTCTTTCTCTATGCCACAATTTTATTTCTTCAATGTTAACTCATAATGATAGAAAATATGGAAAACTAAGTCTAAAACAACAGCAACAAAAACACCCAAAATACTACAGTATTACCCAATCTAACACACTGGATGTGTTAGATTGGGTAATACTGCATGTGGCCCTATGTATAATTCAGCCCTGTTTTTTTTCTCTTTATTATACCTTTAAAACATTCTTTTGTTTTTAAAAGTAATACACATGGCTCTATTTATTTATTTAAAAAATTTTTTTTTTTTGCAGAACTGGGGATTGAACTCAGGCCCTTGTGCTTGCCAGGGACGTGCTTATTCCACTGAGCCATCTCCCCGGGCCCTATTTAAAGTTTTATTTGGTACAAGGTCTTGCTACACAACTCAGGCTTACAGTGATCCTTTTGACTCAGCCTCCTCAACACCGGGATTACGGGCCTGTGGCACCACACCTGGTTTCAGTGGCCGGCATGACATGTGGTATCGGAGATTGAACCTGTGTCCTTGTGCTTGCCAGGCAGGCGCTTGGACCGCCAATCTATCTCCCCTGTCCCTACATGGTTTAACAAGACACATAATGAATGTTTCCTCTACATGTAACCACCTAACTCCACCCTATTCCTACTCCCCCAAAGCAACATTATTATATGTAACTAGTAGGTAGTATAGATGCACAAACATATTCTTTTTTAATATTTATTTATTTTTATTTATTACATTTATTTATTGTGTGTGTGTGTGTCCAGCTCAGCCCACCAGGGGGGCGGGTCTGGCTGGCATGTGGTGCTGGGGATCGAACCGTGGTCCCTGTGCTTTGCCAAGCTTGTTTCAAGTAGGTGCTTTAGACCACTGAGCCATCTCTCCAGCCCCACAAACATATTCTTTTCATTTATAAAGGGAATTTTGAAAAAAGTGAAATTTTAGCACAATATTTACACTATTTCTTTGCAGACATTTTTTTCTATGCTTTAAAAATTCTTTAAAATCATAATGGGCACATTATAAGTCTATTAGAAATTAACCAGGTCAGGGGCTGGTGAGATGGCTCAGTGGTCTAAAGCACCTACTTAGAACAAGCTTAGCAAAGCCCAGGGACCACGGTTCAATCCCCCAGCACCACATGCCAGCCAGCCTGCCCCCTGGTGGGCTGAACTGGCCACACACACACACAAAT